AGGGGGCAGAGGCCAACCAGGAAGTAGATGAACTTATCTCCTGTGACATGGGGCCCACCTGGCCATACTAGGTCTCCAAGAGTGATTGTAATGTTTTCTTCAGCAGTGCTCAGAGCCTGGGTGGAGGAGAGGGGATTGCTGGGTAGATTCTGGGTTGAGGTTGATAGAGCATAGCTGCCGGAGTATTAGAAGTAATCAACAATGGCTCTCCAGGCTGGGCAGGAATAGAAGTAGGAAGGAAACTAAACTATATCGAGCACCTCCTGTGTGCCAGGCACTGTTTTAGATGTTGGAGAGATAGCAGATAACAAAAGGTAAATCCCAGCCCTTAGGGAGTTTACAGTAGCTAGTTATACATTAAATTAAATATACTATACTTCAGAGGTAACAAGTGTCATGGAGAAAAACTAAGCAGGGAAGAAAGTAGGGAATCCTGGGGGGTGGGAGGTGGTCAGGGAAGATCTCTCTGAGATAGTGACATCTGATCAAAGACCTAGGCAGAGGAAAAAGCAGATGCAAAGGCCCTGAGGCAGAGGCAAGGTTGGCAGTATTGGAGAACTACAGGGAGGCCAGCAGGGCTGGAATAGAGCAAGGAGGAAATAGTGGGAGAGTATTAAAGATGACAGGATGGGTGTGGGAGGGTGAGGTTGTATGGGGTTTGCAGGCCATGGTGTGAACATTGGCCTTTACTGAGTGAGACGGAACCACCAAAGGATTTTGAGTGGCAGAGAAGTATAACCTGATTTATCTCTTTAAAAGGATCACGCTGCTCTGTGTCAGGGCACTGACTTAAAGTCTTGACAAACATCTAATCCTTACTTAATTGACATAGAGATGTCCCATGAGGTTGGTGTTATTATTATCTCTTTTTTTTTTCCTTCACTGATGAGGAAATTGAGGCTCAGAAAGATTAGGTAACTTCGCTAAGGTCGCTCATCTGGTAATTGGCAGAGCTAGGATTTAAGCCTGGGCTTGTCTGAGTCCAAAGGCCATATAGAAGAGGAGAAAAGGGGGCGCTTGCAAGACGAGGGGTTCCCACATGTTGGAGTGGAAAACAAAATGATGACGATCACTATAGAAGTAGACTGTAGAGTTTGGCAACTGATGGCGTGTGCTGGGGACAAACGAGTGTCAGCAGTGTACTTTGAAGCCTGCCTGTCTTCTTGGAGAATAGGGGTGCTGGTAACAAAATAGGGTCGTCTGGAGGAGAAGCCAGTCTAGGGTTAAAGATGGAGGGCCTGACATTGGGCAAGTGATGGAGGTGCTGGCAGGAACTAGTGGGAATGTCCAGTTGGTCCAGAAAGAAGAGAGCAAGAGATGGGGACCCCCCTAATTGCAGTTATGGTTGAAGTTATAGAGATGGATATGCTCTATGAGAGAATTGAGGGGAGAACTTGGAAAGTTTCTCTCTATGGGAGTAGGGAGGGCCACAGAAGCTAAGCGGGGGAGACATTCAAGGGGAGGATGAACCACAGAATGGGAAGTGGCATGAAGGGGGCTACCTCTGACAGAGTGGTGTTGGGCAGCAGGTACATGGGATCAACCCCAGTGGTCATGAAGTAGCGGAAAGGGTAAGGCTTTTGGTGCTGCTGGACCGAGACACAGGCCTGTAGCTCAGGAGGGGAGCCCAAGGCAAGTGTCCATTTGGGGCCCAATACAGAGGGAGTTTTAAGAGAGGATGGGATGGAGAATAAAGGTGAAAAGGGTATTCATGAAAAGATGAAAACTCACTTCTTTTGGAGATAAAAGTATTTAAATTTTTACCCTTTTGAACTTGGACACAGGAAAGATGTGAACGTCTTTTGGGTTGTCAGAAAAGTCATGATGCATTTTTGCAACAAAAAACATAGGAAAAATACGTCATGACTTTTTCGACAACCCAATATTTTGAGTCATTTCTGTTTCAAATTTAAAAAAGAGGGTTAGATTAGCACAAAACAGGTGCAATGAGTGTCAAGTAAGTTCACCTGGTTTCTCCAAGTGTAAGAGTTGCACCATTTCAGGCCTGAGCTGGACCTGCTGGAGTCCAGTCGAGTCAAGTCCAATGGCTGCCCCCAGGGGCACCGTGAGCAGGTTTGTTTCTTCCCATGATAATCCAGGAGACCAAACACTGACTTCAGCTTTTTTTTTTTTTCTCTCTCTCTCTCTCTCTCTTCTGATATCTTTACCTTTACCTGATATCCTTACCTTTATCTGGAATAACAGCCATTTTTTCACTTGTGAAATAATACCCCTCCCCCCTTTTTTTCCCTTCTGAAGTAAACAGCTTTGTGAGATGGCTTTTATCCTTATCAGTTTCCATATAGATAGAGTGGCTTGTTTTGTAGCTGTGTTTGTTTATATTCTTATAGTTAGGCCAAGTTTCTTTTCTCATGGCTGATTTTTTTTTCTAAAGCAAGAATCTTGCCTGTTCCCATTATTAAATAAAAAACAACCACATTTTTTTTTACATATTCTGATTCAATTCATATGAAATTTAAAATGGGAGAAAATTATATGTGGTAATAGAAGTCAGAATAGTGGTTACCTCTGTAGGACAGACAGTAGCTGGAAGGGCAAAAACAACCACTTCTTCACGTTGGGCTTCGCGGCACATTTTCAGATGATGCCGTTTACTTTTATTTTGCTGGCTTTCCCACCATTTTTACCTTTAACCTTGTATATTATAGAAAATTTCGAGGATATATAGGGAGAACAGTAAAATGACTCGCCAGTGTTGTCACTTCCATCTTTCAACAGTTATCAACAGGCTGCCATTTTTTGTTTTTTATCTGTATGCCCCCCCATACAATTTTTTTCTGCAGTATTAAGGCCAATCTCAAATTCAAATGATTCTTTGAGAGAGAAAAAAACACGTTTGCTCACCTCTATCAGAGCTGCCTTGTGCTATTACATGACCTACAGCTCTGCAGATGTCTATTACGGGGACCTTATTTTGCTGAGTGGATGGGATGCTAAGATAGTCCGAAGGTCCTCCTACTGGAGTTCATCTCCTCCTAAGCCTAGAAAAAAAGCATGGTCCTTAAACACCGGTGTAGTTGTCCCACCATTCCTTTTCTGGCTCCTGCCAACAGCCTGTGTCTTAACAGGAACCTTTCTGGTGCATGAGACCTGAGGCCTCAGTGTCAGGTGACCAGTGGATAAGCGCTAGAAAACCAGGAAAATCTGCACCTGAAGACGAGTCCCTGAGAGTGAGCAAACGCTGTACAACAAAAATAAGCTTATAAACAGGAATCAAAATCCTGTTAGGCTCCATGTCTTGTTTCTGGTGAATTGCTAGAATTCGGCAGTGTCCTCTCCATCTGTGTTTATCTGTGATACCTTTAAGTGGCTGAAACAAACACAAAAGATGCCCTCTCGACTGATGTTTTCTTTGGCACACATCACCCTTTCTTTTCCCGGCTTGCAGGGCTGCGTTGAAGTAACCGGGTTGTAATCGCACCTTGACTGTTTCAGTAGGGTGAGCGCCGTGTGCCCTGATTTCCTGTCTCTTGCATCAGTCTGTTTGTGAGCATGTGCAGAGAGCTGACTAATGGGAACGACAAACATATGCTTACTGACTGAAAGTTCCTCCTGTTTCCTGAAAGGTTGTTGGTTTAATGAGTTGCTTGTTTGCTGCCCACAGACCACATGTGGTGTGTGTACTTCTGTTGTTGTTGTGAACAACTTATGCCTTCATGTAGGAGCTGGGCTTATAAAGCAAAGTCAACATATGATAAGGCTTGAAAGAGCTTTCTTTGTCTGAGAATCCCCACTGACTGGGAGAATTAGACAGCTGCTGTCACCATAAGCAGAGCTGACGGAGCCTGGAACTCTGTATCCAGAATCTTATTACAGTATGTGCTGCCCTTGTCCCCAGCTTTGAAGTTGTGGCCAGCGTGGCTGTTCAGCCCATGGGGTCTTGATTGCTGGAAATACCTCATTCCTGTGCCGTCTCATGCCTGTGGATTTTAGCTCTGTTTATAGCACTGTGACAGCGTCCAGTGCTGTCCCCGCCACCATCCATCCCAAAGAATCAGGAGCATCCTCTGGATTTGTGCCCAGGAGAATCTAAGGAACAAGAGATTCTGCCGTTTTGACTGAGAAAAAAGTTTTTCCCAATTTAAAAAGTAACGCCCACTCTTGTTGAAATTTGGGGAAATATCAAAAAGGTGGGGGAGCACTTATATTTCCAACAGAGATAACTTACAATTAGTATTGTTTTACCTCTGCATCTAGTTTTTTCTATGTGCATTGAAGATTTTCTCCTCATCTGCATTGATACTCTATGTACAATGTTATCTTTTCTCCTGAACATAATCGTATCAAGATTTGAACATGTTTTAAAATCTTATAAACCCTTTTAGAATCCTTAACTTTCTTCCAGGTGGACATTTCATAATTAAACCATATTATTGAATAGTTAGGTCATTTGTAATACTACTATGAGCATCTTTGTACAGAAAGCATTTTCTGTATTTTGTGTTATTTTTATACTAGATTTTATAGAAATGGAATTAGTGGACCAAAGGGAATCAGGAGAATGAACACGTGAGGACCCTAAGATGCCATATTGCTGCTCCAAAAGGGTGTATCCATTTACCATCCAATCAGATTCTCATCAACAGCAAAACTGATTCTTAAGCCGCAGTTTTGCTTTTCCTAATGGGAAAGTCTAGTACCATTCCAAGTATTTGGCAAAGTGATAACTTAGGTTTTAAAAGTCTTTGATGTGTCAGGTAACAACACTGTGACCCATTGTCCACTGTGGGTTGTGACTAGTTCTTCCTTTTATGTCCATCCCCAAGTTATCTGCACGTTTCTTGACAGCAGTTCCATTCTGCTGTCAGTTCTCTCTCCAATCTCAGTGACAATCATGAGAGCTTACATTTGTACCTTTGCGTGTGCTTTCACCTACATTATCTCACATAGGTAAATTCATAAATTGGTCCTGGGGACTGTGTAGGAATCTCGCTATTTTAGAGCCTGTCTGATGATGCCTTTGTTGTTCTCTTGCACAGATCCAGTCCTGCAGGTTCCAACACATGTCGAAGAGTAAGTTTTCTGATTTGCTTCAGTACTTCTCTTTAAGTCATTCTCTATATTACTCAATATTTATGAAGCTAGTTGCTGGGAGTACATATGTGTATAAATGTAAGTAGAGTGAGAATGACTGAGGCAGGGAGAGTCTTACAGGTGCTAAGATGGAAGCCTGTGTTAGGGAGATGGTAGTCAGTTCTCTGCGGGAGGGAGGCAATGGTATGAAAAAGGCTTATTTGACATGGAACTTAAGTTGAGTTTTGAACTTAAGCTTCCAAAGTCCTCAGGAGAGCCTAAGGGTACAGATCACTTTCTGTCTTTACTGTATTACACCATAGAGAGGAAACATGAACGTGACCTGCTACTAGAGTGTGTGTGTTAGAAAGTTGAATAGCACCTGTAAGAGCCTCAAATAATGGGACAGCCTAAGGAGAGAAAAGATTCATCAAGGGGTTCCTGAGTGCCTAGGCGTAGTCTCGAGCAGGTTAACTTTACCAGAGACCCCCTCACATCTGCTTCATGGGAAGCCACTGACTAAGAGACCTTTATCCATCTCCTCAACGGGTTCTTTCTGATGCCAGACTTTCAGAGTCTGCTGTCATTGCCTCCGGTTTAAAAAGTAAATGTTTGTTGAATGCTAAAAATAGATTTGTTCAACCTGTTCATGTCCATGCCATGCTATTAAGTATTAATTATTGAAATTCTGTACGTAATTGACTTGGAAACTGAGAAGCAGACTTGGTGAGTCCTTTTCACTTATTTAACCTTCATCCAGAGTGATTTGACCCCATGATGATATATTTACTCTCCTATGGTGTTTTACTATTCTTCCATTGCAGGTTGCTTTTTTCCACTCAAGTATGGTATACACCACCACAGGGATATTTTATCTGTGGCCAAAGTGAAAGAACAGTGGGTGGAATTGTCTTATACACACACATACACACATTGCACTTTCCCCTTCTCCCTTAATCATGGCTTTGATGTTTTGTTCTGTGCCCTGGGCTATAATTTATCATTGATACTTATTGCTTAATTTCTAGGCCTGCCTTCCTCCCAGATCCCAATGATGGCAGCCTGTATACACTTGGGGGCAAGAATAATGAAGGCTTGACGGTGAGTGTATTTAGCTTCTTCGTGTACCTCCACGGTTCTAGACCCGTGATCCTCAACTTTTGCACACTGAGATCACCGGAGAGCTTAAAAAACATTCGGGGGGATTCTGATTCAGGTGAGCTGGAGTAGGGCCTGGGTATCAATACCTTTTCACAGCTTCCTGGATGAGTGTTTAAATGGCAGCCAGAGTTCAGAAACATTGATCTAGGCCAGCAAGTTCTCATGGCCCAGCCAACACACTAGAAGGGTATAATACTCCCTTTAATAAAAGGGTTCATGCTTAACTTGTGATTCTCAAATTGGTGTTGGGTGGGGGGTAGTTTTGAAACACTGCCCACCCCCCAGCAGACGTCCCCTTGTAGGGGGAGCATGTGATATCCCATTCCCACCTCCATTTGAGAATCTAGATCTGTGATGCTCCACCTTAGCTAGACATTGTAATTGTAATAACCTGGAGAACGCTAAGAAAATACCGGGTCTGGGTTCCAGTATCAAAAGTCTCCATTTAATCAATCGAGGTCATCAGGATTTTTAAAAAGCTCCCCAGATAAGAGAATTTAAAAACAGGCCCACACATGTGATCACCTGATTTATGACAAAGGTGGCACTGCAGTACAGTAGGGCAGGTTGGTCTGTTCAATAAATGGGATGAGTCAATTGGGATGTCCATATGGAAAAAGATCTTCACTCCTGCCTTGCACCAGACACACAAAACTCAGTTCCACGGAAATTACACATCTAAATGTGAAATGTGAAACAAAACTTAAAGAAAAAAGTAACAAACATCTTCATGACCTTAGAGAAGGTAAACATGTCTTAAATAAGATACAAAACAGAAACATCCCACACTAACCATAAAGGGAAAAAATTGATATATTAGATTATGTTAAAATTAAGAACTTTTCTTCATTAAGAGAAGCAGGCCACAATGTAGTCACAATACACATATCCAACAAAGGACTCAGATTCAGAATATATAAAGAACCCCTGCCATTTACAGATTACAACATACCCAGAATGTTGTAATTTTTAAAAGACAGACAACCCAATAGAAAAATGGCAGAAGAAGATACACAAATGCTCAGTGAGCATATGGAAAGGTACCCCACTTCATCAGTCATTAGGGAAATGCAAATACAAATCAGGATGTCAGCGAAGGTTGAAAGCCACTGGCCTAGACTTTTAAGTGGCTTGTGAGCTCTAACGTGTGTGTTTTAAAATTATTTAGTGAATACCTGTGACTGAAACAGATGGGAAGAGAAGGGCAAGCCTTGTGTAGAGGAGCATGTGTTTCCCCTTCAGCATTTCTCTCCCATTACAAGAGCCTCCATTTCGGAAGCACTTTGTTAGCCAGAAACGGGGCTGAGCGATTTGTATACGTTGTCTCATGTGAGCCTCTCAGCAGCCCTCGGGGATGTAGGTGTCCCCATAGTAGCGGTGTGGAAACTGCGCCTGGAGAGGTGAAGAAACGTGCCCAAGGCCAAAGCTTCGAGTGTTGGACTTGAGACATGAAGAGCTCTAACTTCCTAAGGATGCTCTGACCACCACCCCACGTGCTTTTCCGCGTTGTGGTTTAGCGGCTCCAGGAACAACGTGTTTCCATCTTGGGCCCTGAACTGGGAGGCTCAGCAGACCCCACAGGACTCCAGGCTGGAAGCCTCGCAATGACTTTCTGATTCTCAGAACCATCTGGCAGAAACCCAGTCATTACAGCCTCTCTGTGGCATTTTCCCTTTTCAAAGGCTTAGCTGAAATGTTGGGGTGATGGGAAAGTCCACATGATTAGTTAGTTAAAGTTCTGTTTATTAAAGCTGGAGAGACATCTTTTCTTTCTTGGAGAAAGAGGTGGTGGTGTAGTTGAAGCAGGTATTTATACAGCAGTTTCAAAAACACAGAATGTTCCAAAAATAAAATATACTGAAACAAACATCCACCAGAAGAGCTCGTCAGATGTCAGCTGTAGACCCAGAAGAAGCAATTTTCTGATGAAATGCAATTGAAACATGTGGATACCTTTGAGTTTCTTTTCCTGGCACCTACCCTAACTTCCTTATCATACCGAGAAGGTTCGATTTTGTTTTGTTTTTTTTGGTAGAGAATTATATACTGAAGAGCACATCAAAACTTCTTTTCCACCTCAGCCTCCTCTGTTGCCCACATGATGATGACTTCTCCTTTTTTTTGAAGCTTCAGCTGGGCACGGAGGTTGCTTCTCTTCAGAATTAATCTCGTGGCTCACTCCCGCTCTGAAAAGCACTGACACCCTACTCAGTCTAGCTGGCTCTGGGTCTGCTTTCCAAGGCAGGAGAATTCTTCCTGCCCCTCTTAAAATTTCAGATATTGTGTAACTCTTCATATTTGTGTAAGTCTTTTCAGAAAAGGTTTGTGTCGTCCCCAGAAGCCCTCTGAAAAAGAGACTTGGAGGGGCCCCTCGGAGTTCATATTTACAGCACCAGGGACCCAGGAGCCAAGGGCTTGTCCAAAATGTTTCTGGAAGCCTGGGATGCCCCTTGTCCTGGGTTTCCAGTTAGGAAAACTCCCATCTGCCATCAGCAGTGCTTCTCTCTTTTTAGCAGAGTTGGGTAACAGAAACAGACTGTGCCATAAATTTGTAATAATTGCACAAGACTTGGTTAACTTATTTTTTCCTGTTATCTTTTTTTTTTTTTTAAAAAGAAACTTCCCTTTACCATCCCGGAGTTGGTACAGGCATCCCCATGCCGAAGTTCAGATGGAATTCTCTACATGGGTAAGAGTTCCTGTTTTCCTCACTGAAACTTTGAGCTCTGAAATGAGCCCCAGAACCTGGGAAAGTGGTGTGTCTGAGGGAGAGGCATGCAGTCACTCCCACACCAACCCTTCTGGGAAAGGTCTTTCTTGCCTTGGTTCCACTTGTTCACGCCAGGATCAGCTGAACAATTAAGAAAAGGTTCCCCCCACTTGGGAACAGACTTGACACCATTAATATGGTTACTCATTTAACAAGCTTTTAGCTGCTGTGTTGACCTACCCCTGCCATTTACAGATTACAACATACCCAGAAGCAATTGGATGAAATGTAAAGTGAATACAATAGTCTGAGCCAAGAAAGGGAAGCCAGGGCCTATTAATTATAGGGCTTTCTTAGTATTTCCTGCTATCAGAATATTGGATAAAAACAGCACTTAGCAGCTTGCCTAGATAAGCTGCCTTCATACCTACAGGGGTCACATCTTTCAAAGCATCAGATCGCCTGCTTTTCTTTTACCATGTTGCTGCCAGAATGTCGATAAAAATGCATTTGTAACACAAAGGAGAGCTGTATTTATCTTGAAATCGCAGCAGTAATAATATCCTGTATTTATACAGCAGCTTTCTTTCTGAGGAACTGGAAGTGCTTGTTGCCTGTTCATGCCTTGGGAGCTGTATGTATATTTCTGGGCCTCGAGTGCAGGCTGAATTTTAAGTTAGGGACCCTGGGCTCTTGCGTCCTTCCACACCTTGAGAGTGAGGAACCCCCCAGCCGAGGGAATTAAAGGAAGTAAGTCAGCACAGGCTCTCTTTCTCCTCGGGGCCATGCCCTGTGCCCGCCTGACCATCTTCTGACCATCTGTGTCACTGTTTTCTATTTGGCCTTCCAGCTTTTGCCAGCGATTCATCACTTATGATGCATTTAAGATACTGTGTTTCCATTATCTTTGTGTGATGCCCTCTTAAGTGATTCCATTGAGCGTATTTAAAAGCATGGCAGTTGCCCAGTCCATCCATTAAAGTAGTAGCTGGGTTATGGAGACTGTAATGGTCCTGGCAGTAACCAGAGGGACACCATGCCTTGTGGAAAGGCTCTTTGGTGACGTTTTCACTCTACCTTTGTAGATCTTCATCGTATTAGGATTTTGTTGTTAAGATCAGAAGCGAATGATCCACGGACAAGTCTCATACATGTGGCCGAGGCACGTACGCTCCATCTGTTAGAACTGAGTGTAGCTTTAGCCAATTCGAATGCCTGGTGATCTTCCTGGCGTCTCAGTACTCTGCTTCCAAGAGTCTCTTGAAATAGGAAACTTGGCCAATATGTTAGGAAGATACAAGTGACCAGAGGCCATGCCTTACAAAACGGAAATGCGCACGTCATGGTGAATGTGTTGACCTTCAAATGGGAACCCGTGTTCCTGACTCACCACTGCCAGGATGCGCTGGTGCCCACCATGTTTCCCTGAAAATAAGACTGGGTCTTATATTAATTTTTGCTCCAACAATCTCCATATTTATTTATTCATGTACAAAAATCTACATTTATTTATACAGTCATGTCTGGCTGATGATCTTAACTGGGGCTTATGTTTGGGGTAGGGCTTCTATGACGAGCATCCCAAAAGATCACGCTAGGGCTTATTTTCCAGTTAGGTCATATTTTCGGAGAAACGCAGTATGCTGCAGATGTAATACATGTCTTCGAGTGTTCCTGATAGTGTTGTTTGGCTGTGCCATCCACCTGTTCATACCTTTTATTCAGCCAACCAAGCTGAGAGTTGTAACCTGTGGCTGGGGACTGACTTACTGGCGGGGACGGGAGCTGAGATAATTTGGGCCTCATTAGCACCAGGTTGCAACCAACTCCACTGCCCAGTTACTGGTACCAGGTAATTAGTTATAAACAGTAACTGGATCCTCTTTACATATGAGCTGATTGGTAGGGATGTTGAGACACATGAACAGTGGTTATCAGAGAGAGGAACCCTTGGGTACGTTTCTATTATGTTTATATAGATCCTATCTAAGGAAAAAGGCTTACCCTTTACAGGACAGACTTGTAATATTTAAAGTCACTAACCAAAACAATAAAATCTATGAGTTATTAGGTTTGGGGGAATTTTTATACGTGATTAGATTATTATTAGACCCAGTGGCCCAAGAAGTTTCATTATCGACACATGACCATTACTTTGTCACCCTCGGAGCATAGACATGTCTTCAGCATCGTAAGAATTTCAGGCCTGTCTCTCAGCACAGAGGTCATTTTAGGCTGCTAGTTTGGCAGCGATATTTTTTTCCATATAGGACGAGTGTAAACCATTGTGTGTCCTTGTGACCTTTCTCAGGTAAAAAGCAGGACATTTGGTATGTTGTTGACCTTCTGACCGGGGAGAAGCAGCAGACTTTGTCATCGGCCTTTGCAGATAGTCTCTGCCCATCGACTTCTCTTCTGTATCTTGGGCGAACAGGTAAGAAGGATCCTTTTGTCATGTACAAACCTGCCTGTTTCCAGAAAGGACCTGAAGTGGCCTCTTCGTGGCTCTCTCTGCCCCTGTGCTTCTTTCTCTAGAAGGTGGCCAGATCTGTCTTTTCCAAACACAGCTCTTACCACAGCTCTGTTCCCTCACAAAGCCACGCTCTCTGTGAAGCCTCTTCCCTGGTATAGCAGCTCTCCCATCGTCAGGGCACGCACAGTTTTACGGGCCATTTTTTTCATTGAGAATCTTTTCCAGCTGAAACATCAGTCCTGAACCCTCTGTGTTCAGCTTGAAACTGAGTCCATTTCTTCTTTAGCTTATGTATCTTGAATTATACGCAGTTAGGAGAAACCATTTGGCACTTTCCGCATTCTACCTGGAGATGTCCTTAGCAAGATACACAAGTTCACTGTCCTTTCTATTTTCCAAGTTACTGCAAGCCATAGCCTTACTATTAGTAATTGTGTCACTACTACATCGCCTGGGTCACCCCTTTTCAGCTTCCAATAGCAAGTGTTCTCACTGCTGTTTGTCTCCATGGAGACCTTCCAGCCTCCATCTGCCACCTGGTCCCAGTCAGTGCCACATGTTTTCAATTTTTGTTAGGGCACCTTCCTACTTGTAGGTATCAATTTCTAATACCCGCTGTCTATGGCTATATGATAAACCACCCCAGAACTCAGGTGGCTTAAAACAGCGCCGTGATATTGCTCATGATTCTGAGTCATGAGTTCAAGGGCGTAGCAGTTGGCTTATCTCTGCTTTGCATGCCGGCAGCTGGGTTCACGCATGTGTCTGGGACTTCAGTTTCCCATGTGGCCTTTCTCTTTTCACATGGTGGCCTGGACTTTTCTTTACAGGCAGTTTAGGGAGGATTTGTCTGTTGTGATTTAGGTGAGGTCAGCACCTCAGTGCTGCCATGGTCCCTCTGGGTAACGGGCTGGTGTGTGTTCCCCAGAGTACACCATCACCATGTACGACACCAAAACCCGAGAGCTCCGGTGGAACGCCACCTACTTCGACTACGCAGCCTCGCTGCCTGAGGACGACGTGGACTACAGTAAGTGCACCTGGTGGCTTTGCAAGGTCAGACGGGGACTTGTGACCCATGAGAAAAAGCTGAATTGCTCCGGAAAGCTGTATTTCTTGAAGACACTCTTGGACACCAGGTTCTGGACTTTCCATGGAGTGACAGTAAATACTTCACCAGTGTTGAAGGCAGGAGCCTGGGTGAGAAGTGTGGAGGGGAACCCAAGTAAGATGGTGGCAAGTTTAGCCTGAGAGGAGGGAGGACGCACTCTGTTGAGTCCCTCTGTGTCACAGAAGGAATTTACTAGAGGCCCATGAGAAGCAGAATTAATCATCAACTTGTAACATGCACAGCTCACTCCCTAAACGTGGCTCACCCCCTAGCTACTTCTCTAGTAAGCACCACCCAACTCCAATGAAAACTAAAAACCAATTCTGCCATCTTTACACTGGTGCCTGGAAGAGGGACAGAAGTCCCCTCTGGGGTCAGATGTCGGAAGTGTCAGTGGTCAGCTCCATTTTCAGTTTGATCAATAGGTTTGAAATGATTGCTGTCAGATGCCAGATTCAGAGGCATCTCCACTGGCTGCTGGCTCCTCAGCATCTCCTCACTAACTGAAAGGAATGCTGTCGAGCACCACCCAGTAATGCCCTGCGAAAGGCTGATCCCGTCTCATGTTTATGAGCTGGCAGCTCGCAGTGTCTTGATATTGTAGAGCCTGAGCACGTTCACTGGAAATGAGTGAAACTGTTTGGAAGAGACCTGAGAATACTCCAGAAGTCTCGGTTCCTCTAGCTGAGTGGCTGCAACTTGCCAGGAGAGTAGAGGATGTGGTTGCAAGATGGGGTGAGACTCGACTTGTTTATCCTATCTGTACAGAGATGTCCCATTTTGTGTCCAATGGCGATGGGCTGGTGGTGACTGTGGACAGTGAATCTGGCGACGTCCTGTGGATCCAAAACTACGCCTCCCCTGTGGTGGCCTTTTACGTCTGGCAGCGGGAGGGCCTGAGGAAGGTGATGCATATCAACGTCGCTGTGGAGACCCTGCGCTACCTGACTTTCATGTCTGGGGAGGTGGGGCGCATCACCAAGTGGAAGTACCCCTTCCCCAAGGAGACGGAGGCCAAGAGCAAGCTGACGTGAGTCGGGGAACTCGGGGCAGAAGAGGGCAGCTGTGACCCTGGCTTCCTGGTCCTGCTGCGGTGTGGCACACCGTACACTGAAAGCCAGGGCTCAGGCAGACAACTCTGAAGCCGTGAGGAATATAAAGAGCCAAGACTGGCTCGTTCCGAAACCTTAGAATGTAAGAACTGGGGGGCCCCGCGTGACGCTTCAGAATGTATTAACTGAGTTAAAATGATGGGTGGGGATAGGAAAGAGATGGCTGGCACTCACAGTACGATTTGGATCTACCTCAGGTGGTGACATACAAACAGTGTATTTATTTTTCAATGTTCTGTATTTTCTCAATTTTTATTTAAGTTACATTTGCTTTAAACATCAGGAAAACAGTATTACGGTGTGTGTGTCTCAGGCTCAGCAGGCTTGTGCTGTCCACCCCCACCTGTTAATAGGTCACATAGCCTTGCTGGGCCTCAGCTTCCCACTTTACAGGAATATTGGAGATGATCAAATATGATAATGTGTATAAACGTGTTCTCTAAATTGCACACCACCATTCAAATGTAAGGTATTTGTTGAGAGAGATTTTGAGAAATTAGTAGACGACCGGCCCCAAACTGGCTATTGACAGTAACCAGAAGGGTCTGGAGGTACAGCCTCTGCATTTTCACGCTGACACCACAGACCAGCCAAACGCCACCCCCTACTTGATGCCCCAGACAGAGCCAGACCACCTGGCTGGGGGACTGGAAGCCTCACCCAGTTTGGAATGTTTTGTGCATCCCTTTGCTTTAGGCATCCAGATGAGAGCAGTTGGCTGTTTCTCGGGGCTTCGGTAGGCCCTGTAGACTCCTTAAGAATCACAAGACAGCGTGCTGGTGATTCTGGTGTCAGCTCGGTCGTCAGAGTGTGCTAGTCAGGGCCACCTTAGAGGCTTTGCGGTGGTTACAAGGATTCAGTCTCTCCCAGATGATCGTGGCGTAGTCCTGTCTGCAGGTCATTTTAGGGTAGTCTAGTGCAACCCTGCCCTCTACAGGTGAGGAAACCAGAGCTTGCAGTTAGGAGACTTGTGCATGCTTTTGTGGGCAGTGAGTCGCAGCTAGGGCCTGCAGTCCAGTTCTCTGGCTCCCAGGGCAGTATCCATGCCTTCACACCCCCAGAAGGCTCACGAGTTAATCTGGTTATTCTTCTGGGTGGTATTTGGGGCTGTCATTCTTCTCCAGAAAGCTCCCTTTTGTTGGGATCCAGAACTTAAATGACTGTGGAATGCATGTATTTGTTTTTCTCCTAGGCCCACGCTGTATGTTGGGAAATACTCTACCAGCCTCTACGCCTCCCCCTCAATGGTCCATGAGGGGGTCGCCGTTGTGGTAAGTCCACTACGGAGGAATCACAGGTGCAGCCTCCTAACTGCCCCTGTTCCATTTTTGCAAAGAATGACTTTGAATCATATACATATAAACATCCTGTTGGTTTAAAATGCAAGACAGACCTTAAATCCTCAAAAACAATTTGTACACATACCACCTTCTACTTGAAGGAGAACTCCCATGACAAAAGCAGCTGCCTAAGCCTAGGAAGCCCTGGTCACTGCCCTTTGCTTTTGTGTTCAAGTCTAAGCTGCCCTGGCTAGTGTTCACAGCCCTCCTCAGAGCAGTCCCACGGTGCCCTCCCACCACACTGCTGGTGCCCAACCAAGTGCATCTTCTCCCTGATTCCCAGAAGTTCCTAGTTCATCTTTCTTAGCCTTTGTTCAAGCTGTGCCTCACACCTCAAGTTTTCTCCCTTCTTTCTTTTCCCCACTCAAGTCCTTTCCATCCTTTCGTGACCTACCCAAGCCTCGCCAGCTCCTGCCGGCCCGCCTCCAGCGCGCCGTCTCTGAGTGTCTGAGGCCTCATGATCCTGGCTGTTCATTTCGGTCCTTGCAGTGTTTGAGCTGTTTGGTTGGCATGTCTTGTCTTTCCAGTGAGTTGGTCAGCTGCTCCTGTGAGCAGGGCAGCACTGCCTGCATTGCAGCTCCAGCCAAGCCCGAGCCAGCACCCGGCTCATGGTGGAGTGCACTCCGCCCTGGTCAGGCACGTGGATTGTGGATTGGAAGACACCCGCACATTCTCCTTCACTTACACTGCTTCTCACAGTAGCCGCTTGAAATTTCACATACACCCTTCCTGTTACCCAGTTCCCAGATGTCAGAATTTAAAAAGATATCCATGTTAAAGACGTGTTGTCACATCCTGAGGGTGGAGCCCCTCCTGCCAGTCTTAGGGCCTTTGTGTCTTGCTCTGACTGTCCTGGCCCAGCCCCACCTGGAGGTGTGGTGGTCCCTACAGTGCTCAGGACAGTCACAGGGTAGATCTTCTGCCCCCAGGCCTCACCCCACTTCTGTCTTCACAGCCCCGAGGCAGCACTCTTCCTTTGCTGGAAGGCCCCCAGACCGACGGTGTCACCATTGGGGACAAAGGGGAGTGTGTGATCACACCCAGCACGGACCTCAAGTTTGACCCTGGGCTCAAAGGCAAAAACAAGCTCAACTACTTGAGGAACTACTGGCTCCTGATAGGTGAGTTGGTTTCTCATCGTCTGAGGTCACGTGCTGCCTCCTGGTGGGCAAAGCCTGCCTTGCTAGTCAACCGCATTGTGCTCTGTTCATGTCCCAGTTGATCTTTTAGACAATGAACATTTTTAGTCCCGGGGAAACTAACAAGTTAGCTGTGTTGTCAAGTCAGTTTTCAAAAATTGTTAAACTAATGTTCCAAAACTCAAGTACAGTCATGTGTTGCTTGCTTAACATACGTTCTGAGAAATGGGTTGTTGGATGATTACGTCGTTGTGCGACCATCACAGAGTGCACTTACGCAAACCTGGGTGGTATGGACCTGGACAGCATGTTGCCGCACAAAACAACACGAGATTAAATCAAGCACAAGAGAAAATGATGCGATCAAGAGATGTGGTAAACACAGGATAGATGGGGCTCTGCTGGTATAACACAGCACACCACTTTACAGCCAACTTTTTTTTATAACTAGAAAGAATATACTCTCTGATAAAAAGTATAGTATACTGCATACAGAAACCAGTAACGTAGTCATTTATTATCAAGTATTATGTACTGTCCACAATTGCATGTACTGTACTTTTATGTGACTGGCAGCACAGTAAGTGGATTTACACCAGCATCACCACAAACCTGTGAGTAATGCATGGCGCTGTGATATCACGATGACAGTCACTAGACGATAGAAATTTTTCCATTATGATCTCATGGGACCACCATCGTATATGTGGGCCGTCCTTGACCAAGACGTCGTTGTGAGGCGCATGCCTGTGATGTAAACTTTGTGCTATTACCTGACACAGCGAATGTCTGTTATGTGCCAGGCATTGGTGCTAAGCACATTAGAATATAACGACTTTTTCACAACGACCCTGTGTGGAGTAGGCACCCTGGTTATTTCCACTTAAAGTTAAGGAAACTGAGGCCATTCCTATGGAAGAATTCACTTGGAGTTGGTGTGGACATGAGGGTGGGGGGTGGAGGAGGAGAGGGTTGAAGACCAGGAGGGACTGAGGGTGGTGAAGAGTGAGAGGCTGGACCTGGGTCAGGGAGCCACAGCAAGAAGCCCAGCTGTGTGGGGAGGTCCCTTTTTCTTCTCTTCTGTTGCTGCTGCCATCACTAATGGCCCTGGGGCAAATAGGAGACCCTGTCAGCCAGCGAGATAAGAAGTTGAGATGATACCCAAAGGCAGTGAGTGTGACCAATGAAAGCAGAGATGAGAGGAGCTGTGTCTCTGGCAAGTGACTCAAGTAATTAGAGCAGGACAGACTTTTCAGATATGCTCTTCCTATGCCCCCACCCCAATTCTGCTGCCTCCCAGTCCCAGAGGTGGGGGTGCCAGAGTGCACAGGGGCTGGTGAGATTTCTCCTGGCCGTTCTCCCTCTTGGCACTCTCCGCTGACTGGCACCTGGGCAGAGAGAGGGCAGGGCTGAGGGTGCAGAGAAAGGGGAGCGGGGCAGCTTGGGAGAGTATGGGGCCCGGGGGCCGCAGGATCTACGGAGCAGTGGGATCTGGATGGGGGAGGGATGTGTAGCTGGGTGTTGTGGAGAGGAAACCGGAGCCCCGATCCTTCCCTGTGTAGCTGTCCAGGTCTTGTTCTTCTGTGTTCATCCTACTCCTGTAGCCATTTTTCTTTTCATTATTGTTTTTACTAAATAATGGGCAAAGGAGATGAAAAAATATTCTACCTTTTTTTTTTTTTAACAGAAGTAGTTTGGAAAGCATGAGTGAATGGGCCTGTGGTAAAGAAAAAAAATAGCGGATGAGCAGAGGCCACTAAAATGACAAGGCTACTTAGTTTTATGTACCAGTTAAGGGGGAGCAGAGATTGCCTACCAGTGGTTAAGAAGTGAAACACACAAAAAATAAGTAAATAAAAATTTTAAAGAGAGGTGAAACAAATTATTGGAAACTAAGGAAAGGTATATGTAAAACTATGAAACGTGGAAAAAAAGTCTTCATGGCTCAGTCTCAAAAAGATATCCTTTTAAAATTGAAAGGTTGCCCAAGTAAGAAAACTGGAAAACCCAACAAAGTATAAAGAAATAATTAGAGAAGCATTTCACAGTTCTGAAGGCCCTTCTGAGGAACTCCAAGGCCTAGCCAGTTTTAAATAAGGCAGTGGGGCTACTTGACAATCTTTGTGTAGACTGAGGGCCACAGGTAAAAGGATGTGCTCTTTCATATCAAACTATGTCCTTTGATTTAGTTTTTGTGGAAGAAATTAAAGATTGGCCCATATCACTTTAATCTTGAAAATAAAGTAAGTCTACTTAGCCTGAGTGACATGGTCTGTAAGTGGCCCCAGAACAGTGGCCCTAACCTGGAGTGCTCTCGGCTTTACCTGGGAGCTCTGTCGGTCAGGCATGTGAGATCCTGAGTCAGTGGGTCCAGGACAGGGCCTGTGCTTTTGCCCTGGAGTCTGGACATAATTGATGATGATCGATGGACAAAACACAAAAACCTGGTACTGTTTGTACAAAAATGTTTCGGGATCTCATGATTACGTTTATAGAACAATTGGTTCAGTATGTGAAGCATGTTACTAAAGGTCCAGCTCCAGGAGAAGCCTGTTTCTAAGAAGAGCTACAGGAGGAAGAGGAATTCAGGCTAATCACTTCCATGGCAGTCTGTTGGTAGGTGCCCTACCGGAGGGGCAGGCCTTAGAGCACTCAGAGCGGGCATGGCCGTGGGGGCCATCAGGGCATGCAGCACAAGGTGGCACGTCCTGTAAGGGCGACGCGGTTTCTCTTACAGTGAAGGTCTGTTGTCAGTGAGCCTGACAGGTACCTGGAGACACATTCAGATCCCTGGGCCACATCCGCAACTCTGAGTCAGGGGTCTGAAGCCACAGACCACGTGTGAGGAAATCCTGCTCCACAGCAAAGCACGCCTTGGAGTTCTTTGGCCTACAAGGGACAACGAGTGGCAGTTCAAAACAAACTTAGGTTTCTCTTAAAGAACAGTGTGATGTTGTCGATAGAGAACTGACCTAAAGAGGATTTTTCCAGATCAAGAAATGTGCATAGCTTGGACTAGCTCTTGTCATAAAACCTTCATAGGTTTGGGAGAACAGCAGAAAGAGCATAGTGAGATGCAATCTGTTCTCAGTGAGAAAACAAACAGGAAAGTGTGTCAGAGTGCTGACGGCCCAATGTGAGTGATAAACTGGCTCTTTCGGGTGGTTAGTGGAGTCATTTAATTTTAGAGCTAAACAGATTACCAAACTGTATCAAATCCTTGTTTTAATCAACATTGTCTCTCTTAACGGCAATTTGCACGCCGCAGATGCTCACTGAATGTGTCATGAGCACTAGGTATCTTGAAATACCCAGTGTAGAGAGCAGTGAATAAACGCTGAGAGAACCGTCACCCCCTATCCTTCTAGTAAATATGTTCTGTTGCGCTCTCATGAATAACTCACCACTTCCCGGGCTGGAAACTCACATTTAGATAAGAGAGATAGAGCTCCACCCGAGCAAATTTAAATACCAAGATGGGAAGCGATACCATTAGTGGAGTGATGGCACAAACTCTGAAGGGAGAACTTGAACTTCAAATGAAGCTTCACAATGCATCAGCAGCGGGCAACCTAAGTTAGGAATTACCCTCACAAGTCTTGCTCTGAACCTATCCCTGACTTCCTGATCCCTCGCATAACAAGGACACCTCTTACTCCTCATTATGAGATTCATAATACTATATACCTTCCATTAATTAAGTACCGAAATGTCTGCCGTGATGAGATTTTTCTGGTAACTGCCTCTCATGTCCTCTCTCTTTATGTGAGTGTTTGCATTTGTGGACCCCTCATGGGTCCCAACTATTGCCTAAGCTTAATCACCGCTTGGGGCACTGTTCTCATGAAAGGTTTTGTTTCTTCTCCTAGGACACCATGAAACCCCGCTGTCTGCATCTACCAAGATGCTGGAGCGATTCCCCAACAATCTGCCCAAACACCGGGAAAACGTGATTCCTGCTGACTCGGAGAAGAGCTTTGAGGAAGTGAGTGGGGAAGGGAACCCTTAGTTCTGGCTCTCCGTGAGGGGCTGGCGGGTAAGGCATCGGATGCCTTTAGAGCTCGCAGTCTACTCCGGAGGGAAGGGAAACACACAGGAATCCATGGCAAACCACAAGCTGCTAAGGACCGATGGGGAGGAAAGGGGTGCAATTCGCAAAGGCTGTAGGAAAGGCAGTAGGATCGAATGGGGGGGGTCTGGCCTGGTGGGCAGAGCCAGAAGGCACTGGAGGGAAGAGAACAGCAGAGGTAAAGGCCTGGAGGTGGGACTAACCCTAGCATTTCCAGCTCTGAGGCTGCAGAAACAGGCCTGGCCAGACCCGAGGCTACCGGGTAGGGAACAGTAGGAAAAGGGACCACATGGCTACAGAGGAACCATGTTCCCAAGCCTCGAACAAGCCTGGCAGCAGAGCAAAGCTGACGAAGACAGGAAGTGGGGAGACCCGAAGCTCCGTGAAGCCAGGAGTGGTCTGCTTTGGCTGCTTGGTCTGGCAGAGACCCAGGACAGCCGCAGAATGGGGCGTTGGGCAGCAGGGAAGCCTACCCAGGTGGCAGCTGCCACGAGGTTCTGATCTGGGCTGCCCTGGGGAGGTAGAGTGTGCCAGTCAGGGTCAACTAGAGACAGATTGCCACTCCAGTTAGGATGATATGAGGGATGTTTAATAGAGGGACTGTTCACACAATGGATAGCTCCAGGGGTTCTCTTAGCACATTACTTTGGCCTGAAGCAGTAGGGGAGGGAGTGGAAAAGGCCCAGACCAGGAGCCTAGAGCTTCAGTTGAGGCTCTTCAGCAGCCCCACAGAATTTGACCTCATTCTCCTCCTTCTGTCTCATCTGCTGGTGTCTTCATCAGAAGCCAGAAGGCAGGGGAGACCATTGCCCTGCCCACCTGGAGCAGCGTCCTGGGGCAGGAAGCAGGTGGAGAATGCTGGAGAGTGGCTCTGCGGAGGGGTCAGAGCATGCCAGTGGGGTGCAGGTGGGGGTCCGAAGGCCATTTGGGCTTGGCAGCTCCTGCGGTCCTGCCAGGGGGCCCCGGAGACTGAGAAGGAGCCTGGACCATGTGGGCAGGGTCAGAGGAAGACGAGACTGGCTGACTGTTGTGGAGACCACGATCACAACAAATTCACTTTAGAGATTTAGATTTTATCCAGAGTGAAAGGAAAAGAAGATCACGTGGATGTTTAGGATTCCAGAGCTCAGTGTCTGTGTCTCCCTCATCTGTGCAGGTAGCCGGCTTGGGGAAATATATTGAGTCTTAGAACAGTGATCTTGCATAGCATCGGTGCCCTAAAACTTGATCCGATTTTGATCTTATTAAAGCCAAGCACATGCTTTAGTGAACACTTAGAATATAAGAGTATAAAGAAGAATATAAGACATTACCCTTCATCTAAGTCCCAGAGATGGCCACAATTGACATTTTCATATTTAATCATCCAGTCTTGAATAGACCCCATTAAAAGTCCATTAAAATACTCCAAGTTGCATTTATTGGGTTGTCGGAAAAGTGATGATGCATTTTTGCAACGAAAAACAGAGAAAAAAATACGTCATGACTTTTCCGACAATATATGGTAATAAGACTTAATTTTTTAATGAACACACTGGAGCAAATATAACCAAATGAATGTTGCCCTGTGCACATGCTTAGCAAACATTCCTCAGCTGCCAGCTACATACCAGCCAGCCACATACCCCCATACACAGTGGGAGGCAGGCAGCTGAAGGTGGTGAGAAGGGGCTGTATGCGGAAGTCTGGCCATGAGAGGTGTGAGCACCTGGGGGATGCCCAGCCTGCTCCCGCGGAGGAGGCTGTGTGTTCATTTCATTGAACAGCAGACAGTAACGCACAGCTGGAGCGCTAGAGGTTTGAGAACGAATCTCTGCATTTTTCTAAACCATTCTTTTTTTTTTTTTTTTAAGATTTTTATTGGGGAATTGGGGGAAGGGGAACAGACAAATTGCTGTCCTTTTGTTCTTCAGTCTAGTTGTGGAGGATGTCGCTTCACTGGCCCAAGTTGGCACCATCACTGCGCTCTTCCCGGGTGAGGCAGATCAGTCGCCGGCTTCTGGACGGCCACTCACTGCGGCTGCTGGCCGCTCACGCTGGCTGCTGGCTACACATGGTAGCCCATGGCAACCCACTGCAGAAGGGGCTGCAGCCTATACCCTCGCCGGCAACTCACAGCAGCCCAGCTCCAGGTTGAGCTGTTGTTCAGCATCTTAGCTGTAGAGGGCATTGTCACTGGCCTTCATATGTGGAATCCGAACCGGGGCCCTCTGGCATCCCAAGCCAGCTCTTAACCAATGCGCCACACAGCCGGCCCTAAATCATTCTTGAAGTCCTAGAGATTCTCAGGAGCTTGGACGGAAGCTCCACTTTTATCTGATTTAATTTGGGGCTTCTAAATAAAAATGTTTTTAACAAAGGGTTCTGATGCTTTTCAAAAACTTTGAAAAATAGTGGAATACTTGAATAAGTGATTTTGTTTTTGGAGTTGCACTGAAAGTTTAAGTCAAAATCTTAAAAAAAAGAAAAAAGACAGAAAGCTGATTTATTACTTTATAGCTGTGTGTGTGCATGCGATTTTCCTTTTTAGACGAGATCGGGCGTGTGCAGGGTGGTATGGCCATAGACACGATTTTCCTTCTTAATGTGAAGTGGTATTACCAAATTGACTACCAGTCTTTTCATCATTTTATACAGATGACTTCCCAGTTTTCCCAAATATTAAATCTATCATCGAAGGAGGAAGTTTTTGCCCTCAGTGAGGATTTTTGAAAGAATATAGGATCTGAAGGCACTTCCAAAAGCATTGCTCTGACAGCTGGTTTTGAGTAATGATATCATAGCAACAATTCATCTCAAGGCAGTCGCTTTGACAAAGGCAGCGATTATCTGGCGTTGTGATCTTTGTGGATGGGCTTTGAAAAATCTGACAGTATAGTCAGCGCTTCGCTTGATTGTTTGGCTCATTTATGTCTTGCTAGAAATTGTGCAGTGATGTAGCCACTCTCTCCCATATAAGGTTATCCACCTGGTTGACCAGACTACAGAGAACGCGCCCACCACTATTTCTCAGGATGTGGAGGAGAAGTTCACTCATGCCCCCGCCAAGCCCGAGGCCCCCGTGGACTCCATGCTCAAGGACATAGCCACCATCATCCTGAGCACCTTCCTGCTCATCGGCTGGGTGGCCTTCATCATCACCTACCCCTTGGTAAAGCTCAGCCCTTTCCCTTTGCCCTCCCACACGTTTCTGAACTTCTGCGCCTATCACCTGATGGCAGAGAGGCTGGACAAAAACCACAAGCAAGCACACACCTTTCTTTTCACAGTTCAAGGTCAATATTTGCTATCTTCGAAAACATGGTAATTAAAGAGAATCTAGCTTCTCAGGAAAGGACAATCTTGTACCTACATCTTCCAGGTTAACTATACAAATGGGTTTGTAAACCTTGCTCGCAGATCCTTTTGAATATCTATATATCTATATATAGATAGATAGATAGATAGATAGGTAGATAGATAGATATGTATGTATTAAGAGTAGACATAATAGATGAAAATCTACTTTCCTCCCTTAAAAACTGTCTCCGTTAGAGATATCAGCTAGAGTAAAAAAAAGCAGCACAGTAATTCCTTGTACTTTCTAATTAGAACTAGGTGAGCTAAAATTACGTAGCTGAGTAGGTTGTGAGTTGGATACAGTATTCTAGAGGAATATTCCTTTATCAAGCTGCTCAGAGCACTGAAATGTTATCACCGCAGATCACATATGCTCAGGAAGCTCGCGCCCCACGTGGGAATAGGAGTGATAAACTCTTGACGGCACTTTCCATGTGTTTAAATGGGTTCACCTGCATTGTTTTATTTTTTACCTCACACAGTGTTTATTATTTATCCCCTACCTGCAAATGACGAAACTAGGCTCTGGGAAGTTAAATAACTGTCCCAAGGTTACTCAGTAGTAAATGGCATTTCCAGCATTTCAACCCAAGGTTTAGAGAGGGAGAGAGCGCTAGCAAACTCCCAGTGGGTTGTTGGACACTATCCGGCCCTTTAGTCACCTTCCCAGCCCTGGGTAGTAATAGTCACAGGAAGTTCTGCTTCAAATTGTGACTGTCGGAGTATTGAGCTGTCCGAATAAATGAGAGGCACGGGGGATTGTGGGGAAGGCAGTGTGATGAAATGGGGGGAGCAGGACCTTGGCCAGGCCCCCTGTGCCTCAGTCCCACTCTGCCACACCCTGTCTGTATGTCTGTGGGCTGATGGCTGCCAGGATCTGAGCCCCAGCTGCCTTCTCTGCCCCTGAATTGCTGACGGTCTGTGCACTACCCTCTGCCAAGTGCAGCAGGGCCGCAAGACGCAGCAAGCTGCTCTTCCCTGTATCCACCATGCTCTCAGTCACCTGGTACCCATTCTCCCTGTTTGGTTTCACTTTTGCAGCAACTCCCAGACTTGTATGAGTCCCAGACTTTTAGAATTGAATGGAACCCCTCCATCTGGCCCAGCCCTCTACCTAGGACAGCAGCCCTCTGCTGCTGCCCCTGCCAGGCCGCTCAATGGGGGCATTGGGCTACACTGGGAAGTCTAACTGGCAGAAAGACTTCCAGTCATTGAATGGATTCCATGTCCTGTGCCTTCTCACAGGTCTCGTCCTGCCCTGTGCACCTGCTCCCTCCGCCACAGGGAGCCTCCTTTCCTGCCTGCTTGCTTCCCTGGGCAGCAGGCTGCACTTGTCTGGATGTCTGTTTCCCTTTCCAGAGCATGCATCAGCAGCAGCAGCTCCAGCACCAGCAGTTCCAGAAGGAACTGGAGAAAATCCAACTCTTGCAACAGCAGCAGCTGCCCTTCCATGCACCTGGAGATGTGGTTCAGGACGCCGAGCTCCTGGAGTCGTCCGGCCTGTACTCGGAGAGCTCAGGCACCAGCAGCCCCAGCATGTCCCCCAGAGCCTCCAACCACTCGCTCCACTCCAGCAGTTCTGCCTCCAAGGCTGGCACCAGCCCCTTCCTAGAGCAGGACGACGAGGGTAAAGCGAGTTGCCATTTGGTGCTATTTTTTTCTCACATTTGAACACCACCTGAGAACCACAAAGCACCGTGGCCTTCCTAGGAGCCTCCCTGGGAGCCTCGCTGTTCGCGAGGGTTCATTATGTCCTCACCTGACTCCCTCCCACCCTGGGGGCCGGGCTTCTGCCCAATCCCTTGACTTTTCCTCCTCAGAGGGCCTTCCAGGGGCCCCCTTGGCCTTTCCTCCATCTTGCCCCACAAAGGCTGCTGACCAGAGGTGCGCTGACTGTCTGGTTTGAGAGCATTCCCAGGGCTAGCTGGGGCCAAGGACGGAAATGCAACTGTTGATCCGCATTCCTCTGGGAGGTTGGCTGAAGCCAGTTGTCAGGGCCGGTGTTTTGAGGGGATTGACACAAGCTAGTGCAATAGACTGAGTCCTGAGTGTCAAGGTGGAGATGCTGCAATGGGGTCTCTTCATTCTCATGTCCACCATCACTACCTGAGTGTTGCAGGTGCAAACCTGAGGTGCATCTGTGGAGAGCCCCTGTCTTTGGGAAGGTGTTAAGACATTCGTTCTCACAGTAGGGCCAGAGAGCAGGGGGCACGGGGAGGAGGAGGCCCTGGACACGAGTGGGGAGCGGACCCAGTAGCTCTTGCCTACTAGGGGCCTGGGGTGTAGAGCCTCTGAGATCCCATGTCTTAATGCGAGCTCAAAAAGCTATTGTAAAAGCCATTCCAGCCTCAAGTTTGCTTAGGTTATGTTGGTTTAAAACAACCTTTTCTTTTTCCTGTTTTGTCCCAGATGAGGAAACCAGCATGGTGATGGTTGGGAAAATTTCATTCTGTCCCAAAGACGTTCTGGGCCATGGAGCGGAGGGCACAATTGTGTACCGGTGAGTGGATTGGAGAGCCCGGTGCCTTCACCACCTCAGGTGCGCCTGTCTGCAGGCAGCATGCCAGGCTCCAGCAGGGTCATAGCGGTGACTCAGACCAAAGAGTCCTGCTTCCATGACCACAGGGCCGCCTGGTGGTTAGTCAGGGTCCCCAGGGCTATGAAGCTGATGAGGTGGCCGCTGTGTCACAGGAGAAGGGGTGCTGTGGGACCACGGGTTTCCTCTCGTTTCCACAACCCAACTGGCTCCCCCAAACCCAAGCCCGCTCCTCGTCCTGCAGGGGCATGTTCGACAACCGCGACGTGGCAGTAAAGAGGATCCTCCCTGAGTGTTTCAGCTTCGCAGATCGCGAGGTCCAGCTGCTTCGAGAGTCAGACGAGCACCCGAATGTGATCCGTTACTTCTGCACCGAGAGGGACCGGCAGTTCCAGTACATTGCCATTGAGCTGTGCGCGGCCACTCTGCAGGAGGTGGGTGCCCCGTGGCCGCGGTCACCAATGGCTTTGCCATCGCCACTGCAGCCTCCCTTCTCCTGGCAACTGGGACACGGTTTTAGGAACTGCCAATCTGTTTTGTTTTTGTTAGCTTTCTATTCAAGTTATAATATAATGTACTCATTTTAAGTGTATTGTTTGATACGTTTTAACAAAGTTACATATCCATGTAACCACAATTAAAACATAGAGCATTTTTATCACTCCAGCTTAAACTGGGTGGTCCCCTCTGCCCGCCTGGGGCAGTCTTTGACCGTAGCTAGTTAGCATCTCTGTCCCTCTTGGCCTCCAGAAACCTGGCCTGTTCTTCCTCCCATAGCTGGTCAGGGTTGGTGTGGCCTTAGAGGATGCTTCTTGATGACTCGAGTCATTAAGATCAGCCAGTGAATTCCTTTTGCTCAGTCTCCAGCTCACCGTGAAACTATTTCAGTATCATTTGGATTCACTCGTAGGTTTACCTGTCTGAAGCAGTGAACTTGAGTGTCTTACTCTTTTATCTTTCGCATTGAAAACTAGAATTTTAGAACTTTGTTTAATAAGTTAGCCTATGACTTCAGGAGAAAGTCTGCTGGAAAATAAGGATTCGGACAGAGAACGTTGTCAATCAAACTTCCCATTTCTTTCTTAAAATATGATCAAAGAAGATGAGCTGACCCAATACCAAATGTTAATTAAAACAAGAAGCTGCAGGCAGGATTTTTCTAAATAAACTTGAATCACTTTATACAAAGAGGAAGTGCGCTGAGGGGCCGAGCCCTGGGGGGCCGTGTGCCATGACCTCGCCGCTGCGTCTCTTACAGTACGTGGAGCAGAAGGACTTCGCCCACCTCGGCCTGGAGCCCATCGCCTTGCTGCAGCAGACCACCTCGGGCCTGGCCCACCTGCACTCCCTGAACATTGGTGAGAGGCGTCCCTCTTCCAGGCCGCAGTCCGGGGGTGGTGACCAACTTGCCCAAGAGGGCATTCCCTCTTTGGAAGCTCTTTGCCGCATCGCTGGTGGGCAAGTGGTATAAGAATTTGAGGAGGACTCACACGGTTGAAAACCAGAACCTTTAGAGGCGGCAGCAGGTCCATTGGCAGTCTGAGGAGGGTGTGCTCCCCGTGGCAGAAGGGGGCCCGAGGTTGCTCGTGGTTAATATTGGACTAATCCAGAGTTTTGTATCAGTTCACAGAGACCTAAAGCCCCACAACATCCTCCTCTCCATGCCCAACGCACATGGCAGGATCAAGGCGATGATCTCTGACTTTGGCCTCTGCAAGAAGCTGGCAGTGGGCAGGCACAGCTTCAGCCGCCGTTCAGGAGTACCTGGCACAGAGGGCTGGATCGCTCCGGAGATGCTGAGCGAAGACTGCAAGGAGAACCCCGTGAGTAATGAGCACAGTCCTTTGACAGCTGCAGAGCTGGCCTCTTATACCTTCAGGATGAAGGGCCTCCAGCTTCAGGACTTGGGGCTGGAGCACATATAGCTAGAGAATGACATTTCTTTGACAACGAGCACGCTGCTGGCGCTTTCCATATTGTCTGATGTTCAGATGAACAAAAGGGGCGAATGTGGGCAATTGTCTGGTTTTTTCCTGCTCTTCCAGTCAATTCTCCCCTCACTCTATTTTGGGAACTCAGAGCTTGTGTAAGGTGAACAAACTTCTAGTTTTTCTTCTTTTTTTTTTCTTCTGTTTTTCTGTTCCCAACTTTTTAATTTGAGAATTTTTAGACGTACAGAAAATTGAAAGATCGTTTCAGTGAATACGTTTGTACCTCCACCTAGATTCAATATTGGTTAATATTTTTCACTTTCTATCTGTGGCTGAACCATTTGAATATGAGGCAGGCATCCTAGCCCTTCACCCTTAAATACCTCAGCTCCTTTCTCCCAAGAACAAATACAGCCTGCTTCCAAACCTCCATACCATCATCACACTTCAACAATTAATACTGTTTCCTAATATGTAATGTGCAATCCATATTCACATTTCCCCAAATGTCTCTTATAGAGCTGGTTTGTGCACTAGGTCCCAATCAAGCGTCTTGCATTGCATTTGAGTCTCTCTCCTTTAATCTACTACGGTCCTCCTACCTTTCTTGTTCCATGATGGTGACTTTTTGAAGAGCACAGGCCCTTGGCTATAGAACGCCCCATTTAGGGATTTGCTCACGTGTTTCCTCATGATGGTGTTCAACTTGCCTGTCTATTCCTTGTATTTCCTGTAAACTAGAAGTAGGTCTAAAGGCTTGATTAGATTTAAGTTAAATGTTTTTGGCAAGAACAGTCACAGGACCCAGTGTCAGGAGGCACGAGATGACAGGTTGTACCGTTATTATTGGGCCCCTGCTAGCAATGCCAGCGTGGCTCACCTGGTACAGGTGGTCTCCACTTTTCTCTCCTCCATAAAGGTACCTTTTTCCCTTTGTTGTTAGTACTCCATTGGGTGATACTTTGGCACAGTGTGACTATCCTGTTTACTGGGTGTCCTTTACCCAGTGGTTCAGTATCCGTTGGCAATTCTTGCCTAAGTAACTTAACCCAGTAGAAATTCTTCCACATTCATTAGCTGACTTTTTTTTTGTAAGAAAGAGCTTTTTCTTTTTTTTTTTTGTAAATCCCCTTTCTCACTATTTTCTCCTTTTTTTTTTTTAATCACTGTGGATTCATGGATTTTTAAAATAGTGTTATAATCCATTATAGTCCTTTTTTCCTCTTTTCTTATTGTTTCTCCTTTTGATACTCAAATTGTTCCAGATTGGGCCAGCAGGAACCCTTCAAGCTGGCGTCTGCATTCTTTTGCTAAGAGCCCATTCATGTTTCAGCACCTTGCTTTCTAGCACAAGACATCAAAGGATTACCTGATCCAGACCTGGATGGGATCGGCCAGCCTACAATAGACTAGATACAGTAGAGCCCTCTTATGCAACTCACTGGGGACCAGCCGCTGGCCAGTTCATCAAAAAGTCAGTTACAGTGAAGAATCATAAGAAAATACATACACACCTTAAACATTTCATTTTAACTTAAAGCAAATCATGTGATTTGTTAAATAATAGAAATCTTTGATGATAGGTCATGGCTTTTTCTTCAAATTCGGGTCCAACTGAATGGAGTTGTTCATTCCCTCTCTTGCATTAAGCTCACTCACCTGCCACTTCTGTGCCTTCTAGATTGAGACTTAGACATTTCAAATCCTTCCTAAGAGCAGAGTCCTAGCTCTTAACTATTTACGTCCCAGTTCCTTACAGTTGAGTCTCCACATCTAATTCCACAGCAGTTTTTGTAGCCACTCCCTTCTACTGAGTCTTTCCAAAGATTCAACTCACTTCAGACTTGGTGGCACTGTATTTTGTCAGCGTATGGAATGTTTAAATTGCAAGTGGCAATAATAAGTTTGGGGAAGAACATAACTTGAGCATAAAGATGAGCTGATGGGAGCAGAGGGACCCGGGCAAGCAGGACCAGACCCCCCCAGCTTCAGTGCTGAGCATGCTGGGGACGTCGGGCAGCATGGGCTGTGGAAAACGGGAAGCGTTCATGGTACAGCGAGTAGGTAAAGTGACAGGTGAAGAGCTTCACCTGTGGTAGACTTGTTCCTCCTTTCTGGGATCTGTCACCCACCTCGGGAACATTCTGATGAGGTAGAATCAAGATGATCGGGCTTGGGGATTAGAAGACCTGAGTCTTGTCCTGGTTGTCACTACCCAGCAGTGATCCTGGGCTTGTCCCTGAACCTTTCTGTCCATGTCTTCATCTGGGGATGGTGACATTGGCTCAGCTCACCTTGTGGGGCTGTTTCGAGGGTGAATGACAGTACAGTACTGTTACAGGCGTGTTTTCTCCAGTCTGGAAGGCGATGAGCTCCTGACTTTCTCTCACTAGATCCTCACATGTCTGGTGTAAGTGGTGGAGCCTGGCAACAGGGAACCACGCCGTGCTCGGGAACCACGCACTGTTGTACCCTAAGTAGCATAAGCTAGAAATCACCAATTTCCCTAAAGAGCAGCTCATTTATAGACAAGAAGTGGTTTCATGGGATAAATGAGAGGTGTAAGATAACATCAAAAATGACCTCACTGGAAACTTGTCAGATAATTTCTTTCTGAGGCTGATTTTGAACCAAAAACTGTTTTATGCATTTATTAACAAAGTTTTAAGACCTATCGTATGCAGGCACCGTTCTAGGCCTTGGGGTACAACAGGGAAGCAAACGCACAGAAATCCCTCCCTCCGAGGAGTCACCTGCTGTTCAGGTAGAGAATGACTTGTGCGTGGCTGGGGAACGCTCTGGTTTAAGTAACCATTTTCATATATTAGCACACTTCATCTTCACACCAACCCCATGAGGAGCATACCATTGTTCTCCTCATTGTACGTCCAGGACGTCAAAGGACAGAGCATCCTGAGGCTCCCAGCTGGCAGGTGGCAGAGCCCTCATTCACTGGTGCGGCCTGCAGGGTGCCCAGCACTGCTCTGCGATTACCCAGCAATTCCCGTAGGTTAGCTGGTTCTCCTAAGACACCGTCAACAGGCAATAAGTAGCTGCAGCATTCCTCTGCCGCTGAGCGAGAAGAATTCCCCGGAAGGCCTCTCACATCCTCTGTTTCTTTTCAGACCTACACAGTGGACATCTTCTCTGCGGGCTGCGTCTTTTACTACGTGATATCTGAGGGCAGCCACCCTTTTGGCAAGTCCCTGCAGCGGCAAGCCAACATCCTCCTGGGCGCCTACAGCCTTGACTGCTTACACCCCGAGAAGCACGGTGAGGGGGCAGCAGGGTGGGAGGGGTCAGAAGCCACTCCTAAGCCACCCAAGGGGCCCCTGCAGGCTGGCATGGTGCTGGCTCTGTGCTCCCAGAGGCACTTTCTGGCTTCTCACCTGTGGGCCTCACTGAATTGATGACTCGTTCCAAAGCTGGTGGAGAGCTGGGAAGGGTTATCCTCGGAGCGCCTCCCTCAAAACCAAGAAGCCCTGAGTTTCCTTCAGGTCACCCAGTTAGCTGTATGACCTGGGCAAGGCCCTCTTTGGGGACCTCTATTTTCCAGCTTGTGACTTGTGACCTCAATAATCTGAGGTCGCTTCCTGCACCGACGTTCAGGAAGACACACAGTCCGTGCTCCATAAACTAGACTCTCTTGTTAGCGAGTACAGACTGCGCTGGGGACAGACAAGCTTGGTCCCCGCTCACCAGGCATGGGGGCAACGAGTCTTCCTGCCTGACTTCAGGGTTTCCTATGTTATAATTGACCCATGACACCCCAGTGCCACCTTTTTAAAAAATTAAACCTAACTTTTTGTTCAATTCATTTTCCTTATTCCTATAAGGTAACATATTAGCATAAGGCCCATAATTGTATTATACAGTGATGAATGACTGCTGCTAATACATTTGTATATATTATTCCAGTCGTCTACCTAGACATATGTGTCTGCATATTTTTATTTTAAATGGGGTTAAATAGTACATACTATTACACAACATGCTCGTTTTTTAACTTCATCTTAAATATCTCTCCATATCAATTCATATTCAGTCAGGGCATCATTTTAATGACCCACCGTCCAGTATATGGAGGCATGGCAATGTTACCCGCGCCTCTGATACTGGGTATTTCCAATCACTCCTTTTCACCAACTGTGCGGCGAGGACTCTCCTTATCAGCTGAAATTTTGTGCAAGCTCATGATCATGTTACTGGAATGAACGCCTATCAGTGGGATCTTGAATCAAAGGATGTGGCAGACGGTTAAGTTTGGGGTATTTCACTGTGGTGTTAGGCTGGTGCTAACAAGTCACATATTTATTTTCCTCCTTTGTAGAAGATGTCATCGCCAGGGAACTGATAGAGCAGATGATCGCGATGGACCCTCAGAAGCGCCCCTCGGCGAAGCATGTGCTAAAACACCCGTTCTTCTGGAGCCTGGAAAAGCAGCTCCAATTCTTCCAGGTAGCCATGTTTGTTTCCTTTATCAGAAACCTCCATTTAACTGATTTTGAAAAGATAGCAAAAAACAAGGAATAAAAGAAATGATCCATAATCCCATAACTGAGAGTTAACCAGGGCTGACATTCTGATATATTTTCTTCATAAAATAAAAGCGTGATTAGGATCAAATGGTATATACAGTTTTGTATCTTGCTTTTTTTTTTTTTTTACCCTTATATAATGTGTTCAGTGTTTTGCCATGTTAAAGTTCTGAAATTTTAATGATTATGTTATTCTATCATATGGATGATTTTAAAACTTTATATTATGGGAACTTTCAAATACACACACAAGTAGAGGGAGTATTATGATGAATTCCCATGTAGCCATCAGCCAGCTTCAACAATTATTAACTCAACCTCTGCCCTCTTCCTCCTGCCCCACTCCAGATGATTTTGAAGCAAATCTCAGGCGCCACACAATTTCATTCAAGCTTCATACATTTAAACATTTATTTATATTGTACTTTTTTCCCATCATCTTGTACTCAGTCTTTGCCCAGATCTCTTTTTGCTTAAGATAAATTCGGAGAGTTTTAAATCGTAGGATCAGTGGCTGTGAACTCCTTTAGCACTTTGGCTGTCTTAGGGCTTTGTGGGATTGCCAGGTGGCTTTAGGGAAAGACGATTTGTTTCTCAGAGTCTTCGCTGGTATGAGTTATGCTGAGTTCGGCCTAACTCACCCAAACGCATTGTACCTAGCATGCTAGCTTTGAAAAGCAGGCACACGGGGGCAGTGCTTTTCCTCCCGGGTCTGGGCCAGAGCAGAGCTTGGAGTTGGAGGTGGCCGTCACATTGTCCTGGAGTCTTAACTAGAGCCTTGGCGGTGGTGATGTCCCCAGAATGTAAGTTCCTTGAGGGCAGGGAAGTTTGATTTCTAGGTTCATTTCTGTGTTCTCACTGCCTGGGATGCGGTCTGGCATATGGCAGATGCTTAGTAACTTTTTGGATGGAATGGGAAGGGGAGCGTTTAGCACCATTTTCCATGGTGGCAGTGGTATGTATTACATTAGGATTGATCGCTGAGCTCCACAGTACATCACATTAAAAATCTGAGGTCTGATGTCTTCAAGGGACTTCGGAAAACTAGCCAGGTCACTTTGACGATGACAAGATTTGAAGAGAAATAAAATTCACACAAAGGGACCTTTCACTCACCACAGGTTAGGATTTAAACTCATAGTAGCTCCAAGTCATATGTCTTGTGAACACACCTGGCTTCTGTCTCTGTCAACCAGCTTGTACTGGCTTTGCAGCTCAGAGCCGTGTGTCCCCTAAGTTGGCAGTCTAGTCCCTCCAAGACTTCCTCTTGCAGTTGCAAGTTAGAGGGTCAGCCAGGTGGACTTCATCAGGGAAAGAAGAAACTGTGAGCCCTACGAGGCTGCTCAGTGTTAATGTGTATGGGGCTCATCACTCAGTGTCCTCAGCTGTTGACGGGCCTGTGTTCCTGGTGGGAGCTCGGAGAGGCTAGTGCTCGGGGTGCATCCCATAGTCACAGTCTGGTTTTGAATCCAGGGCAGGGGCCTCTGGAGCCCATATTCTTGTCAGCAGGTTTCCGCCTCTGAAAGGCTTGGCTTCATCTGTCTTTTCTAATATTCAAATGAGGAGTGACAACCTTCTACCAGTCTGGATTTCAGCATGTCCCGTTTCAGTGGGTAGACAAGAAGCATAGGATGCAAAGCAACACTGAACTGTTGTTGTCTAACACAGATTGCACATGTGACACGTGTGGCATGGAGAGTATGCGTGCGTGTGTGAAATGCAGGTGAGGTGCTCAGGCCTGTGGACAGGTGTGCATTTGTGACACCTCTCTGTGTGGAACATGGTCTGTGTGGGCTGCTCCCTTGTGAGCAACAGACACGGCCCCTCACAGGGGAAAGTTAACGGATTAGAGGGGCAGGCAGAGTGCTTGCTGCCCAGCTCTGAGGCGGACTTCAACCCGGGCCTATGATGCATGTAGCAGTGTTACTTGGTGCCAGTCCTCCCGCTCTCAACTTCGGTCCACACTGACCATCATCTATGGCCCTTGTTTCAGGATGTGAGTGACCGAATAGAAAAGGAATCCCTGGACGGTCCGATTGTGAAGCAGCTGGAGAGAGGCGGGAGGCCTGTGGTGAAGATGGACTGGAGGGACAACATCACTGTCCCCCTCCAGACAGGTGACCACGCGGAAGCTCCGGGATAAGTGTTGGCAGAAACGCTTCAAAAGCTGCAGCCATTTCTAAGAAGCAAATGTAGAAATGACAGCTCTAGGCTTTTTTTTTTTTTTTCAGCTGAGCCATCCTGCCACCTGTTGGCAGCTCAGCGGCTGCTCAGCTTGGGCCGGGACTCGAACCGCTGTTGCTCTGAGCTCACACTCTTCAGCGAGCTCGTAACCAACTAAACCACTCGGCTGGCCCCAGCTATATAGGCTTTTAGAACTGGATACCACTTACGGGGTTGAGGCTTTCTGTGGATGTGTCTGTGGTTTAGATACAAAGCTGACCATGACACTGATGTGTGTTTCATTTATCTCTTAGAGTGACAGTGGTAGGTGCCGTGCTCTTCTTGGTGGTTGTTTCTAGTCATGGATGCGATCAGGCAGTGGGGTGCCGACTAACACTGCCCCTGGCAGGGACATGCTCCTGCCACTCTGAGTATGGAGTTATGTAGCGTTTCAGTCTGATCACTTAATCCCAGGAGCCCCAGACATTGTTTTCTTTTGAAATGTGTTCGTTACATTGCATTCTTTGTTTTTCTTTTATAGATCTGCGTAAATTCAGAACCTATAAAGGTGGCTCCGTCAGAGATCTCCTCCGAGCCATGAGAAATAAGGTGAGGGTCTTGAACCCAGGCGGGGGCTGGGCGGCTGCAGCACAGCCATCTTTCTTTTATCCATCATCTGCGGGTCCTTTCATCCATCCTGGAATTCTGACCTCGCAGAGGCGGCGGAGGCCTTAGCCAGACCAGACAAACTAGAGACTGCTTTTTTATCCTTAAACGGGTTTTCTCTTTAGGGGCGGTGAGGTACAGAGTTACTTGGGAAGTAGGCTCTCTGATGCTGGTGTCCTTTGTGGTCTCCGCTGACTTATACGGTGCCCTCTACCTGCCTGACACAGCGCAGCATAAACCCCCTCTTCGGGACCCTCTGGGCACTTTCTCACACGGGGCCTGGTCTCCAGGGTCTCAGGGCAGGGGCCCCACTTGTTCTCTGGAGGGATCTGGGGAGCCCTTGGCCTGTACTGTCACAGAGCAGCCTTCAAACAGGGCCCAGGCCAGAAAGTCCTCCAAGCTCACTGGGACAGACACTTCAGGCAACTTAATTCCACTCGAGGCTGCCAGCAATCTCGCCAGGTCCCAACCGTCACAGAGGCCTGACGGGCCACTCTGGCAGGGAGGCTCCTCCCTGCTCTCCCCATGCTGGGCCTTGCTCAGCTTCGGGGCCTCCTGCTGAATGAGGGGATGCAGGCAAGGTGAGCAGGATGGATCGCTGGATGCTTAAACCTTTTCCCCTTTTCTTTACAGAGAACCAACTAACATTCTATCTTCCTTGAATAATGAAAGGATCTTTTAGCAGCGTTTCATGGGCTTTCTAACTGACCACCCTCTGTGTCTGTGTCCGCCCTGTTTGCAGAAGCACCATTACCGGGAGCTCCCCGTGGAGGTGCGGGAGACCCTGGGCTCCCTCCCCGACGACTTCGTGCGCTACTTCACCTCGCGGTTCCCCCACCTCCTCTCACATACCTACCGGGCCATGGAGTTGTGCAACCATGAGAGACTCTTCCAGCCCTACTACGTCCAACCGCCCCCGGAGCCTCAGCCCCCAGTGAGTCCAGAGGCCCTTTGAACCATGGAAGCCTCCCTTCTGGTGGCCCCAGCTGTGACTGAGGGCCTGGTCTCTACACACTAGAGCCTGATGCCTCCCCACTTAGCAGGAAGACCAGGCTCCCAAACCCAGTGCCTTGAGCTGCCTGCTCTGCAGCCAGCGGAGGAGGGTGCTGGCCCTGGGAAGTGGGAGAGGTGACCCCCCTGACCTACAGGAAGCTGGGAAGATGTTGGCCATGAAAGCTTTACCGTCAGGGAGCATCTGCAAAGAAGGGCTCGTCCCAGAGTCAGTGAAAGGAGCATGCTCCGCCTCCTCCTGGATAAACTTGCTTCAGACTTAACGTTTCTTTTTAAGCTTCCTGTTTGATGTCAACCTAAGGGCCTTTAAGGAAGAGAAAGGAAGAAATCCTAAGCTTCGCCTGCGTGCTGGGACCAGGAACATCTCTCTCGCCGACCAGCGGGCTGAGATGCAATAAGTGCAGCCTCTGCTAGAAATGAGGCTCGAGAGGTGAGGGGTGCCGAGGACAAGGAGGAGCGTGTTCAGAGGGTGTTGTCCCCAGGGACCGGAGATCACTGATCACCAGTCACAAATTACAAGTGCACCCAAATATCCCAGGTTACTGTAACCAGTGTTTCCTCGGGGGCAGCGAGAGCCTTGAGTGAGGGGGCACAGCATTGGGACAAGATCAGCATCTCACGCTGGAAAGTGAAGCCGTGTCTGCAGCTCTCGGAAATGAAGAGGACGCTCTGTTCTGAGGCAGCTGCAGCCCAGTACACCAGTGGCCTGAATGGTGGTTTTGGGCGGCTTTGTGCCCTGGACACTTGGGGATGTTTAGGAGCGTTTGGAGGCGAGAAGTGATACATTCCCTGGCCACGAAAGAGATCATCTAAGACCTAGCCAAGGACAGGCCTTCAGGAGCGGAGGGGAGCAGGCCGAGTGGGTCACAGCGGCCACCCCGGGAGACCCCTGGGCCAGCGGGTAGGCGATGAGGCGCCACTGTCCCTGGGGCCAGCAGGATGGGCCAGGGGGTTGGGAGCCAAAGCCAGAGTCACTGTGCACTTCGTGGGCAGGATTTTATGTTTCTCTTGGCAGGTTTTAATAACTTTATATTTTGATCATACTGTAGAATGCAACATTAGCACAAGTAAGCTCCACTTAACTTGAAGCTTACTCATGAAGAAGAAATGCAAGATATATAATATATCTTCTATTTGTATGGTACCAAAAATCCCCATCCCCTCCAGAAAGAGTGTTCCTATTTGGAACATTCTCTAATGCTGAAGAGTAAAACATTATAGCAACACTATACACATGTATTAAACCACTTCAAAGTAATAGTTCCTAAATTCTGTCAATACCATGTGTTTTTTCCCCCAAAATTAGTATAATTTTTAACCTTAGTTTTAACCCAAAATCACGCTGTATTTTCTCTACTGAGGGCCTTAGAGGTTAGATGCAATCAGGGTACCGTGTCAGGAAACGTTTTCTGTGTACTTTCTCCAGCTGGGTGAACGGTTCATTGCAGTTCAGTCCTGGTGAACTCGGAGACTCCACTCAGGAGTAAGAATGTCACTGTCAAGTTTTGCTAACTGTCAGAAATCACTGCTTCTTGTGAGATGCTCTCTGGCAGTATATGTGTGGGAAGATGGCTCATCAAAAGCTCTCGCTCTGCCTTTGTAGAATTCCGTTCCCTTCCTTTTATATGCCTAAAGTCACTTTTTTTTTCTTACTATTATCCTACATCTTTAAATCTCAACAGTTACCTCATTTAGACCTTGGAACCTGGCGTCCTTGGTTGGCATCATGGGGTCTTGTATGTGCCACACTGTTCGTTTTTCAGGAACACGGCCAGACAGGTTTCTTCTCTCCGCTCTGATGGGCCTGTGCCAGCCCCGTTCTCCATATGACTCTGCGGGTCACTTTGCCGTTGGCCTGAGTGGGGATAGCCCAAGAGATAGTCAGAGGTGGAGAAGGTGCCATGAGTGACTTCACAGGACTGTCGGCTTTCTGTGCTGCCGGGGACTGCTGCCTCGTCGCTGCTGAATGCTCTCCTGGGAGAGTAGCCAGATCATGTCTTGCTGCCCAGTACTTGTCATCTGTCTGTTTTGGCCCAACCTGCCTGCAGGACAACTATTTTTAAAAATGCCTCTTCTGCCTATCATATTCGTTCCTAACCACCTGACTTTCTCAAACTCATCTATTCAACATTTATTCAATATATTGTACCTAAACGCTTACCATATGAGCTGGGGACACAGAGGTGGGCAAAGAGGCAAAACCTCTGCTTCATAAGCACCTATAAGTGAGAGAGAACAACAAACAAATATTATGCTATGAAGAAAACCCAGGTGGTGCGAAAGGGCATGCATTTGGTGTTTGCACCTCTTCTGTCTGAAAGCCACCCATGTCCCAAGACCCATCGGATCTGATCAGGTTGCTTTCTTTCCATCTTTTCTCCGTCCCCTTTAGAAATCCACTCACTCACTCGGTGCCTCAGGCGGATTGAAGGGGTCTTGCATGGCCACTTGTCATGAAGACACTGTGGCACCTCTGCTTTCTAGAATTCGGGCTTCCTGTTCTCAGCACAGTGAAAAGGTGTCTGTCTTTTGCTAGAACGGGGTTCTGCAGCCTTGTGCATCCTGTCGCAGCTGAGCTGTTTGATTGTAAGCTTGATTCCTGGAAGGCTGTCTAACTTCTTAGAAGTACGCTCCCCTCATTTTTACAACAGAATTTCGTTGCATCTCTTAGGAATCCAGAGGACAATATAATTTATTTAAAGCTTGTGTTGAACCTTGTATTGAGTAACCTGCCAGATTTTCTCTCGTTGCTTCTTGAAATTTTTTAGCATCAGTTTATAAAGAACTCCACATGTCCCTAGGCATCAGAGCATTTGCACTTTGGGTAATCATTGGTGTTACTTGAGAAGTCCCTAAACTATCTAGTTGTCGATGTATAAAACCCTGGGTGCAAAGGTGTCCTCCCCACCCCACCCTTGGTCTCAAGTGCAGTCGTCGTGATACAATCTTCCCGTTGAGACATCGCTCTGGCCCATTACATGTGTTATGTTGGAATAGCCACAAGTTAGTAGGTCCAGCAAAGTATTTCCTTCCCACCAACTCTAGAAAGGTTCCTTATCAGAGTTAACCCTGATCCTTTTGGTAAGGTTTTGTGTGAATGTGACTCATTTATCTTTGCGATTCTTTCTCACTGAGGAACAAGAGATGAGTTGGTTGCTGATCTGACCTCTCTCACAGATGTGAGGGCATTTGGTTGTAGGGCTTTCTCCTCTTGGCCACTGTCTTTTCAGAAGTTGGACTCTGGCCTTCTTTGGATTTCCTGAGACTGTCCCCCTTCTCCATCTCTGTTCATCGTATCTTCGGCCCTGAGGTCCTTACGGAAGGTGGGCTGGTTCCACTTCCACAGCCTTCAGTGCCGGGAAGAGCCGGAAGAGAAAGCACAGCACACCTGTTGAAGAGCCCCTTTAAATTCTCTTTAGCTTTGCATGTGCTCATTTCTGAAATGCCTTTTCTTCGTATTTCCTTGGCCATTCCTTCACCATGTCCTGGAACAGTCCCTTTAGTTGAGTATGACCTGGCATCGGCCTTTCCTGGAAAGAAGTCAAAAGATGTTTTCTACAGATGAGCCAAAATTCTGCCCTCCAGGGTTGGACCATTATCTTCGAAACCAAAATGTCTACTCTTCCTGTACTTTATGAAGCAGTGGTTTCCCACGAGTAACTCTGGTTCTGACTTCTGTAGCAGCACAAATCTTTTCCCTGTTCATTGGAAAACCCCAAAGAACCATCTGCAATGAGCCTACCCCTGGAGTAGCCTTAACCAACGACTCTGGCCAAAGTCCCCACCCCCTCACCTCACCCTGTGCTCATTGTGTGTTTGGTGGGTACAGTATTCCTTTTCAGTGTCCCAAAAGCTGTGACGGGGGCGTCCCCACTTACATAGAAAGCATTACCAGTCTACTCTGCGTCATTCTCAGATGCACACCTTATGTAGTGTTCTTATTTATTTAACCTATTTATATTTATTTAATTTTTACTCTGAAGTATATCCAGTTACAATTGCACTTGCTTAAAGCACATCAGATTTGTTTTGGACAACACCCCTGACCATTGTAAAACTGGAAAAGGAAAAGTTATACTGTATCCTCCCACAGGATGGATGCCTTATAGGAGTTTTGTCAGTAAAGGGTAAATGATTTGGTCGTGGTAAAAATGTTAAGTTTTAAGTGATTCTTTTCAAAGAAAATTCTGTGCCATTGTGTCTTCTCTGTGGATGGTTAATTGTTTAATGTGTATGTGTTAATTGTGTGATACAATCCTCTGTGGAACCTAAAAATCCTCTTTTTAGCTTTATATTTTATAAACTGCCAGATTGTACAATTTTTATGTGTATTTTTAAAGCTTGATGATGTGAGGGTAATTATATAAGTTAAATGGCCTATTTTTGTACCTCCTGTACAGTTTTATAATTCTGCTGATTGATGATGGCATCTTATGTTGAGCCAAGCACAAATAAAGGTAGTTTTAGATTTGGAAGCCAGCTTCATTTTCTTAAAGACTTGACCGAAGACTTGACCGCCACTCAGACCAGGGGTCCTCCTCAGCCGCCTTCCTGGGTAGGGGTCTGAGTGGTGAGGGAGGATGATCAGCTGGCTCAGCTGGTGGGAAGGCGGGTGTAGAAAGTCCTCCAAAGTATTACTTGGGCTGAATTCCAGGAAGGTGGCCCAGTTGGCACAGACATGCCTCATGGTGAGAATTCACTGCAGCAGAGTTTGGGGCATGCGTACAATGAAAGAACTCTAGGAGGGGAGAAAACCCCTGAAGTATCTCGGCCAACACAGTGCTGGGAAAGTCACGACCTGAGCATGTCGGAAGCACGTGGTACATCGGCCCACACACCCAAGAAGGAGCTCAGGGGCGGCCAGTCTGGTTGGATCTTAGGATCCTGCCAGCATACGTTCTCCTTCCCCTGTCTCATCCCCTCTGGTGAAATCAGAGGATGCTTCGCTTTCTCCTGCGCCACCAGGAAGGGGCCACTTAGGACGGGAAGACTCTGAAGGTCCAGCACCAGCCCATCCCCCACCTCGGTGGGCACCAGGAGCGTCCCTGAGAACCCCCACACACACAGCCCGCGCCTCTGCGTCTTAGATACAGCCAAAGCCAAGGAAGCCTGAGGGGCTGCAGGACGCTGTTGGCACCGGCTACTTCCTATCACCTGATGCAACAATGGAGCTATTAAGCCAGGGCTGTGTCTTGTTCTTGAATTGGCCCAGGCCATGGAGGGAGGCAGCTAGGAGCACCCTTAGCTGCTCTGAGAACAGAGAGGAGGAGGCCAGCAAGCGGTTGAGACGCTGGCAGGGCTGGAGGCCATGGTTCCGGGGCACTGAGGCAGGGTTTGCTGCTTCCACGCTGAGTCAACATTGGGCTGCAGAGATGATGTTTTTTGCGTGGTGTCTGATACACTTTAACAGATGTATGAGGCATGCATAACAACTGTATTCCATCAGTGAATGCACCTATTTGTACCCCCTACCTATATTTGTCTCATTTGTGCTAGACCCATATCTTAGCTTCAAGACAACAGCCATCCTAACAGCCCTGCTTGCCTGCCCGCCCACGGGGCCAGGCACTGTGCTGGGGCATCCTGTGCCCTGGTCACTCATGGGCCTCATTCCACTCTCCCTCCGGACTAGTATTTCCCTCAAGATCGAAAACATATAACATCTTTCACTTTAGTGAGAGGCTGGCCACACCCTTTGTCAAGGCTAAAATTCAGGTCATGAGCCTGTGTCTGGGACAATCTGCTGTGGGCAGAGGAGCAGGGCTGGTAAGAACACAGCAGCTCCTGGGAAACCATATTGAAAGATGGCAGGGGTCGGAGGGGCCAGGTTCCAGAAACAGGAGGTGCAGGGCGGGTGGAGTAGCAAGCAAACTTGGCCTCTGAGAGGCCTGGCATGGAAGACCATGAAGTGCTCTTATCTTCCCTTGCCTCCCTCTGCCTCTCCAAGTCCCCCTTCCTCTTCCCAGGCCTGCTCAGTGATTTGGATGAAGCCACAGAAGTACTCATAAACTGACACAAAGCTGGAAAGAGTGGCTAGTCACCAGTGTGATTCGTGACCCAATCAAATTCTGAGATGTTGAGAAACTGGAATGCTGAGTCCAAACCCAAAGGATGACAGGAAAGCCTTCCTGCCTTGGTATTCGTGCCGAGGCTGCAGGTGGAGGGCAAGGCTGTGGAGGGGCCTGGAAACTGTCACAGATGTTTGAAGAAACCAGAGCTGTTGGGTCCTCAGACATCTCACAGGATGAGGAACTGGCTTTACTCTCTCACTCCAAAGGGTTTAAGCTGGAATAGGGGGAGCAGGGTCCTGCCGGGCAGATCCGGCTCCAGGAAGGGGTGCTATCTAATAGCCTGAGGTGCCCAGCAGTGAGTGGTTAATTACCCTCCTTAAAAACATCTCAGGATCCCAGCTCATGTCATCCTGACTAACACATTGGGCAAAAAGCACCGAGGGAAAATGCTATTGCACTGCCCCCGAAAGGTGAAGTTCAATGCTGAATAGTGTGTGCCATCAGCCAGTTAAAATGTTCATGCTCTCAAGAGGATCCAAGGGGCAAAGAGGGATTCTCTACCTGCTGCTCGGTCTTACCCCACTTCACTGCTCTCCCTATCAATGAACACCTTGTTTGTCCCTGTCAGTTACCTGGACCATAACTGAGCCTTACTAGGGTGACACCTGATGAGATGTGGACTGAACCTGACAAGGAAGGTGAGAGGGGCAGGGCAGTATCACATCCTCCCCAAAACACACACGGCCTTCCGTCAGCACCAGAGGGTCTGCTGGATTTGGGGTGGTCTTTTCCCAGGGGTTGGAATGTCCTCATTGGCAGGGAAGGTGTGGAGGGGGTTATGGGAAGATTTCTTCTCATCAACACCCCGTCTCCTCAGAACAATTTTAGGGGGAGTGGAGGGAGGACAGAGGGACAGAAAGGGGATAAGTTACACCAGGCCCCTTGAAGTGTAGAGCTGAAGGTCTGACCTCCATTCTGCAACGCTCAGAAGCCCGCCTTCTTTCTCTTGTGCTGCAGAGGGAAGAAACCACAGGATAAAGGACACTGATGAAAAGAAAAACAATAAAACCACAGCTATTGCTTAGCTAAGCTGCTGTTCCCCTTTCAACATGTGACCATGTTTTGTCACGCTAAGTGGCTGGGTGGCTGCTACAGGATGTGAGCCCAGGCAGAGTGGAGAACATGTCAGTTGAAAATGAAGCATTCTGAGATAGGATTTGTTGTAACCAGTGTGACAAAAACAAAGCCTAGTGCTGTTGTTCATTTGTATTTCTGTTGTTGTTTATTGTGCTTTTAATTTTTTAATTTTTTTATTTTTTAGTTACAGTCGACATACAATATTATATTAGTTTCAGGTGTACAACATAGTGATGAGACATTTATATAACTTACCAAGTGATCACCCTGATAAATCCAGCACGCATCTGACCCCATCCATAGTTATTACAAGATGACTGACTACACTCCCTATGCTGTACTTTACATCCCCATGACGGTCTTTATAACTGGCAATTTTCACATCTTAATCCTTTCCCCTCTGAAGACTTTTAGCTAGGCCAATGGTTTTCAAACTTTGACTGTATCGGAATCGTGGTCTGGGGAACTCGGTCGGGAAGGCCCAGGCCCTATCCTACTTCAACAACCCTGGGCCTCTGCATTCTGTAACTTCCGGGTGACCCTGATACACCCAAGTGTGAGAACCATTCATCTGGGCCTCACTGCTTACAGCAAGGAAGCCCATGAAATAATCATCGTTAATGCTGAGGTGTGTCTTTCACCTATTAAAAACAAATGTGTTTGGGTTTTAAAATCCAAATTTGAATGATACTATGTATGCTTTTTAAAAAATTCTGGTTGTCACAAGCCAGCCCCTGGGACTGAGAAATAACTGGTCACATTCAATTCCATGTCAAGGTGGGTTGTCCCACCACCACAGTATTAGAGCAAGAGTTCATCTGGCTTCTTTAGCTACTGGCCCCTTGAAGAAGAAACGGGGCCAAACCGTCAGTCAGGGACCCCAGCCCCCACCCCACCCCCCAGCAAAGGGTGATACATGGAACCCTTTGGGGTGGTCTCATTATGCTTGTTCACAGTGACACGCCTAGGTGTGGGTCTTTTCATTCATGATGCTGGACACGGGGAGAACCCTTTCAACCCAAAGGCTGTATCCTTCTGCTATGAAAAGTTTGCTTGTGTAGTTTTAAAATAATGATCTCCCCTTCACGTTTCTCTGTTTTTATTTTCTGAAACTTCTAACAGTAGGATGTTGGAACTCGGTTTCATCCTCCATGTCACTTATCTTTTATTTCTTATATTCCGTGTGTTGATTTTTGTTCCTTCTGGAAAATTGCCAGCCTTTATTTTCCAAATTTTCTATGACACTCTTCTTAGTTTCAGCAATCATTTTTCATTTCCAAGGCTCTTGATTCCCTGTCCCTTTCGTCTGGGGAAATTAGTATTTGAGGATACTAATGCGATTTTTTAAAAAGTAGTCTTCAATTCTCTGTATTATCTCTGTATCTTTGGGGTCATTTTTGTGTATCTTGATCTCTCTTTTCCAACTTGCAGGTTTTCTCAAATGTCTAGTGATGTTTGATGGGTTATACGTACTCAAAAAAAAAAGAGGCAGTAAAGAGCTGGTTGAGGCCGTGTGTTGGTGAGTAGAGCTTGTCCACTGGTGAGCTCTGTTTTCAGTAATCTTATGGGGGCAACCTTAAATGCCAGAGTGCAGAGGCCTCAGCTCTGAGGTTCCTAAACATCTTTGGAGAAGAATCTTCTGATTGTTGGCCTGACTACCGCGTTTCACCGCAAATAAGACCTAACTGGAAAATAAGCCCTAGCATGATTTTCAGGTTCTCGTAATATAAGCCCTCCCCCCAAATAAGCCCCAGTTAAGATCGTCAGCCAGACATGACTGTGTTTGAATAAATGTAGATTTTTGCACAGGCATAAATGAATAAAATGCATCTTTTGGAGCAAACATTAATTTAAGACCTGGTCTTATTTTCCGGGAAACACGGTACTACTGCCTGTCCTTTTGCATCAGGGATAGGGAAGGGTCAAATGTTCTATGAACCAACTGCTAGTTAATTTCAGTCCCTACAGGTCACTACCAACTTCTGCCATCCTTCCCTGACAGTCTCTCTCTGGTTCTCTGGGCAGATCTGCCCTCCTCAGCTATGTCTCATTCATGCATCGCTGTAGGCAGAGGGAGGCAACTGACCTTGGCTAGGGTGGCAGCTGGCAGAGGAAACCTTGCCTATTGGGGGCCAGCATACTGAGTGGGCACAGCTGGTGCAGAGAGGGGACACGGGGTGTTGGCCTTGAGGTCCAGACTGATGGAGGGAAACAGGGATATGGATGGAGGGGATTCTGGAGGTGGAGCAGTATTACATGGTGACAAAGTAAGATTTGGCTGCAGGGCTGGGTGATGGAGTCAGGGTAGACTTCTGTAGTTCAGGAAG